ACATCTACCGTACATTACCGTACATTCCCGTACATCTACTGTACATATAGCCTCTTGTTCATCAGGTTACATCAGATCTTTTGAGGGACTGTGTGTGTGCGTCTTGTGATGCGTCACGGACAGGCAAGGATCTACTCCTCAATTTTGGGGCGTGATCCAGCTTAATGGCTTCTAGTTGTTCCATGGCCTACATAATGGATTCGTTACACTATATTCTACTACGTGTGCGTGTTGCATATTTATGTGTTTCTGTGTGCAAAGTACTACTCTGTCGTACGGGTGGACCACCACCCCACAAATTTTTCACGACTAAAACATAAAAAACAATCGCGCCCATAAAAACAGAAAAAATGTTTCCAAAAACAACACAAAATACAAAGATTTGCTAATCAGTCTCAGTTCTACACAAAAAAGAAGAGTACACCAAAAAACATTGAAAAACGCTTCTCTGCAAACCCGTCCACAAAAAACATAGTTTTTCAATGCAAAAACCTAAGTTCCCTAAGTAAGTTGTAAGTGATTTAGCACTAATTTAGCACCCTCCAACATAAACTAGGATAACTTACTTATATATATCGAAAGTAATTTGTAACTGCAACGTAAATACCACCAAGAACTTAGAACACTTCACAATCTTAGACCAGCTTACAACATCAGTTAACCCATGTTATAACATATGTTACGGCACTTTACAAGTTCTCCAACTAGGGGGGCCCATCTTTGTAGGAATGCTCTAGGCTTTGTCTAGATTTTGTTATGTTTGGCCGATACGTGTGGCATTTGAATGTACCCTAGACCATGGGCAGTGCCCTGCGGCCCCACAGGCCGCAGAACCCAACGCGTCACGGGGTTCATGCAAGAGCTGACGTCCGATGGTAAATCTGGGAGGTACCCAAAAAGTCGACTTTTTGGGTACCTGCTTTGGTGGTGCTGGGTTGGGTCTAAACTCTTGGGCAATGATATCCTGAATGGGGACGAGGGTTCAGCATTACGGGGTTCATGCAAGAGATGACGTCCGATGGTAAACCTGGGAGGTACCCAAAAAGTCGACTTTTGAAAAAACAGAGACAGTCCTCTATCGTGGAACCCACCTTTGCAGTTTGGCCTGCGAGGGGTCCTTGGCGATAGAGTGTGCCTGGACAGCAGGATATAGACGCGGACTCGTCGGTGAGGAACGCATCATCATCACCACGGGGTTCATGCAAGAGATCACGTATGGTAAATCTGGGAGGTACCCAAAACGTCGACTTTTTGGGTACCTGCTGTGGTGGTGATGGGTCTGAACTCTTAGGCAATGATATCCTTTATGGGGAGAAGGGTTCAGCATCACGGGGTTCACGCAAGCGATGACGTCCGATGGTAAATCTGGGAGGTACCCAAAAAGTCGACTTTTTGGGTACCTGCTTTGGTGGTGATGGGTTGGGTCACCGGGAGAAACCGATCGATTCAGCACAAGTCCGGGCGCCGAGTCGACTTTTTGGGTACCTGCTTTGGTGGTAATGGGTTGGGTCGCCGGGAGAAACCGATCGATTCAGCACAAGTCCGGGCGCCGACACTTGTGGCACTTGAATGTATACCCTAGACCATGGGCACTTGAATGTACCCTAGACAAAATAGGGTCAGCGCCCTACGCCGCGGCTCCTGTCGCCCAACTTCCTTTTTTTGTCTGACCATGGGCAGCGCCCTTCTCCCGAAGGAAACAAATAACACAAACACCGGCTGCCTCTCACCCGACAACTTGGGTGACGGGGGCTCTTCTCGACTCCTGCATTTTGCTCAAGGGGTGCTCCAGGAAACCCTCCCCACATCCAGGGCAACGTCCTTCCTCCTACCGTGGAACCACCCGCTCCCACACCCTTCCGTCCCCCCCTCCCGCCCTACCGCACTGCAGACATTCCGCCACGTGCGCGCGCCGCCCGCGTGTACACGGCTACGGTCTCTTCCCTGGCTGGCGCGAGAAGCTCGTCACCACCTCCCCGAGCTTCCGTTTGCGCTGCTCCCTCCTAGAACCAACACGCCACATGGCGCGGACACGGGCGCCTGACAGGCGTGCGAAAATCTTACCAGAGCCTTTCACGTTACCATGGGCACTGGCCGGACCTCGTCCAGCGCAAAATCTAAACAAAGCCTAGAGCATTCCTGGGAAAATTCCAGGGCATTGGCCGGGAACACTAGAATCGAATAGGTTAAAAATAAGTTCATCAATTTTTGAGCAAATCAGGGAACCTAAATGCAAGAGGACATGCTAGATAATTCTACAACCATGGAAGAAAATTGGGGAACTCCTACCCGGGTCCGGAGGGGTAGGGGCGGTCTGAGGCTAAGGCTAAGTCTAAGGCTAGGCTAAGGTTAAGGCTAACATCGACAGTCACGCCTCACCCCACCTCTCTGCCTGGAGCAAGGCTTGCGCTAAGGTTCTATCCCTTGGGGGTCGGCGGCTGCAGGCAGTAGCCTGGTAAATATATTGCCAACTTGTGGGCAGACAACTTCTAATTCTCCATGGCTTGTGGAAGCAGCAAACAAAAAATATAAATCATTGGTGCCTCAGGTTTGTGCATATGTGCATTGGTGGATTGAATGGGCGTTGGTGAAACTATTTGGCAAAAGTTGTCTTAAAAAGCGATGGCCTCCAACCAAAGAGCGATGGCCTCCAACCTAAGAGCGATGGCCTCCAACCTAGTAGCGCAGCCATGGCCTCCAACCTAAGAGCAAGGGCATCCAACCTGATAGCAATGGCCTCCAAACCAAGAGCAATGGCCTCCAACCTACAAGCGATGACGTCCAACCTAACAGCGATGTCCTCCAACCCAACACCGATGACCTCCAACCTAATAGCAATGGCCTCCAAACTAAGAGCGCCGGCCTCAAACCTATTAGCGATGACCTCCAACCTAAGAGCGATGGCCTCCAACCCAATAGGGATGGCCTCCTACCAAAGAGCGATGGCATCCAACCTAAGAGCGATGGCCTCCAACCTAATAGCGATGGCCTCCAACCTAAAAGCGATGACCTCCAACCTGATAGCGATGACCACCAACCTAAGAGCAATGGCCTCCAACCTAAGAGCAATGGCCTCCAACCTAAGAGCAATGGCATCCAACCTGATAGCGATGGCCTCCAAACCAAGAGCAATGGCCACCAACCTACTAGCAATGGCGTCCAACCCAATAGCGATGGCCTCCAACCTAATAGCGATGCTCCAACCCAAGAGCGATGGCCTCCAACCTAATAGCGATGACCTCCAACCCAATAGCGATGGCCTCCAACCTAATTACTACAGTAGATGGACCAAATATTCAAGCCCATGTATCAATAACTGTCGCCAACCCCTGACCCCCAAAAGGTCAATGTTGAACATAACTTGATTGAATTTGTGTTTCCAGGGTTTGATTTGTTTCGTCCATTCGCCGAAACATTCTTGCAAGACCTCTAACGTTGAGCTTTGGGGTAGAAGGGGTCCACGTGGCTGAAAGGGTTTGAATATTTCGTCCATCTACGGTACTGGGTGTGGACGGCGACCGGAGACCTACAGACGCACACGCGTGTGCTGTTTTCAAGCGACGCCGGGCAGTTCCAGCTACTGTTCTTACTGTTGCCACGCGCCGTGTCTGTTCCCAGTCCCTTTCCAGTGCCTTTTGCACTTTCTCGTGGCCCTGCCAGCAAAAATGTGTTTCTGGTAAGTTTTGTTGTGACTCACTGGCAAAATCACTGGCAGGCGCACACAAACCGTGAAAAGGCACTGGAAAAGGTACTGGGCACATGGCAACAGTAAGAACAGTAGCTGGAACTGCTCTTCATCTGGCTTGCTTTCCTGACGTCTGCTGTCCTCGCTCGCAACGTGTCGATGTGAAAGAGTTGTTGAGCACAGACGATTAAAACACAGAGTACTACGGATGAAGATGTTAGACTTAATACTTACGAGCCAAAAATACGCTATCGTCACACCTTTAGACAGTAGATGGACCAAATATTCAAACCCATGTATCAATAACTGTCGCCAACCCCTGACCCCCAAAGGTCAATGTTGAACATAACTTGATTGAATTTGTGTTGCCAGGGTTTGATTTGTTTCGTCCATTCGCCGAAACATTCTTGCAAGACCTCTAACATTGAGCTTTGGGGTAGAAGGGGTCCACGTGGCTGAAAGGGTTTGAATATTTCGTCCATCTACGGTAGGGATGGCCTCCAACCTAATAGCCACAGCCATGGCGTCCAACCTAATAGCGATGACCTCCAACCTGAAGAGGTATGCTCCAACCTATTAGCCATGGCTTTCAACCTAATAGCGATGGCCTCCACCATTTTGCTTGCAACGTGTTTCTGGGGCCCTGATCATGATCTCTCATTCCGTGGAATCAAATGAGCTGTGACTCCGAGAAATCAATAAGTTCAGAAGGAATCGGACACAGATTTGCTTCTCAGTTTTGTTCTTGGAGTTAGATCGGTTGTATGATCTACCACAGGATTCATAGGTTTATACACAGAGACTTGCGCTCGATGCAAAAGTCGCATTCCACTTCTTGGCAGCTTTCAAATCGATCATCAGTTATTTGTACGACGACCATCCTTCCCGAAAAGTAAAATCAGGATGCCAACCCCTTCTGTTGAACAGCTTGATTTTGGGGGGGGCCACCCACCAAAAACACACAACATTGAAAAAATAAGTCGCCTCACCCCAAAACCCCATCCCCCTTCCCAGATGTTGTTCAAAAATCAATCACATCAACAAAAAAGGGTTCCCTTCGTTTAGCAATCCCCGCCTGTATTTGTCGATCTTCTCCTCTGACTTTGCTGCTGTGAAGGTCACTTTGGCCTGGCAGAGATCTTAGGAACAAATTCCTTTGCCCACCTCCAAGTACAGTGTCGGGTTGGTAGCATGAATATTAGAAAAGTACAAGTGAGAGCTTGATGGTGTTGCCTCACTGGTCAAGCCCTGTTCCATAAAGAATTGAACTTTTTGGTTGCCAAACCTAACCTTGCAAAAACCAATGTGTTTTCATGTATCTAGAGGATAAGAAAAATGATCAAGACCAACATATTGACATCTTGATGTTCAGAAGCACCCCAAAGTTTTGCTCGAAGCACCTCTCGAGAGAAGTTGCCTCTCAAGACCTACCTACTAGTTCTACCTCTGAGCCTCAAGCCATTAGAAAAAAGGTGTTATGCATATGTTTTCTGGTTGTTCCTCTCTTTTTTCTACATCTTTTTCAACGCCAAGCCTTAGCTTGTCGAGGCTGAGGATCTTCATCTGCGGTCACCTGGACCTGAGAGGCCACGCGAGTGCTCCGATTCCTGTTACAGTGTATATAAATAAACGGTATTCACTTTGTTTTGTTAAAACATGTGTAAACTACCAAAACTAATAGGTTTCAACATGTTTCAAGAGATACATTTGAGCGACCTTCAAAATATGTTGAAGTTCCGAAGTTGGATCGTTTCTACTGAGGCTGCGATTTTGGTCTTCCGGCTTCGTTTTCCAAGGAGTTGCACAGTTAGGCTACTATGCCTGCTTGTTCACCAGGTGAGTTAGGTTACCGCTGCACTTCACAACGTGAAGTACATCACCACTCCAACAGCGCGGCTTTTCTCTCACAAGCTGATGTCGCTCTTTGCGTCCTGGTCTTTTGCTTGTTTGTGCACGCGGTGCTTTTTGGCTAGGTGCTTAGCAAGCGTGGCCTCATCCCTGGCACATAAGGAATCAAAATCCTTTTGAGGAAGTGTTTGAACATCTCTGCGCGAAGATGCAAACCTTCTCTGCACTGTGCGTTTCCTTGAAAAAAACTGAACGCTATAGGTTTTGGGGGGTGACTCATCTGAGTTGTGGGCACTGTATGGTTCTGTGCTCTGCAGTTTTGAGGATATATGAATCATAGTCTCGCTTCGTACTTGTTGGCTGGTGGCGCGAAGGAGGAAGATGATGGTGTTTTGGAAAACATCGGAAAATACAGTCTGAGCCCGGGTACTCCTTGAGGACAGCTATCCTCATTCTGCGAAATGCAGGCCTTCGTCTTGTCCACGATCTGTGGCCGGTGTCCAACTCGTCTCAACGGATCTGACCTGCCTGAACCTGTGGAAAACACACGACAAGTCACCAGTTCTGCAGCCTGAAAACTGGCAGGCGATGGATGCTCGCCAAAGTCATTCCTGAGCTAGCAGTTAATCCGCAGCCGATGCAAGCACTGCTCTCTACTTGGGATCCTTGTTTTGTTATAAGAAGTTAAGTTAGTTAAGATCAGTTATATAATTATTAGCTTGAGTTGCTAATTCTATATAACTAGTTAAAACTCTAAAATGGTTTCTCCAAAATCCAAATTGACTTTAAGTTTTTCAGAGAATTAAAATGATTTGGGTACAAAAAAAGATAAACTAATATGCATTTGCGAAAAAAACATAATTAATTTCTGTCGTGGTGCATTGACATGTGCAAACATTTATTGATGGATGAAAGAAGCCATCATGGCCTTTGATGAGCCATCATGGCCTTTTATTGGAATGTTGGAATGTTGAATGGTTTTTCCATGGTTGCATGGTGCTGTTTACATATGCTTTAAACTTTAGAATGACAAGAAGGACAGAAAATGTATGCGCATATTGGCTAGGCTCAAACATTGCTGCTTGGCAAGCTGTTTTTGAAGCACTGGCTGGTAGCCTGGTCTTTGCCATTGATGCAAATCAAAAAGTAGCCTTTGGTGGTCGCCTTGGTGCCATTGGAAACAAAAGATTGAATCAACAAAACCAAACATTGAACTCATCGTCTACTTGGTGGAACACATTCAATTGCGCTGTGCAACAACGTGTTGAATTTACCCAAGTGGCCCTATGGTGCTGCTGGTGCCTCATGTGGGCTAAACCATTGGTCCACAATGTGCTGGAAGTTGGAGTATGGCTCCCTGTAGAGCAGCAGTTGGACCAACCGGTGGTTGGAAATCCTGGGTCCATGGTGCTCATACACCAGCACAAAGAACTGGGCTTGGGAACAAAATACAATGGTCATCAATTTACAACGGTTCTTCAATTTACAATGGTCATCAATTTGGATCCAGATACTGTCTGCTCCTGGTGATACAAGTGTTGTTGTCCACCCAGGTATGAACTTCTCTTCTGTTTCCTCCATTGGCCCATCTGGTGAACGCATGGTGGGCTGGCCCTGTGGGTGGCTCGTGCCTGAGCCCAAAAAGTGTTGATTTGATTGAACATATATAGTCCTCTATATGTCCTCTAGATAGTGGTCACACATATATTGTTTTTTGTGGTTGGTAACATGTTGGTCATCTCTTTGCTGCCAAGGAGCCACTGCTGCCAGCCATTGTCAAACAAGATGATGTACATGGTTTGGCCTTCCCAGTTACAATGGTAGTTGTCAATGATTCTGGCCATTGTGCCCTTGAGACCTATATGTGCATATATGGCTGCAGGTGCAACTGTTTCACATGAATGCCATCATTGGCGATAGGTGCAACTGCTGGCCTACTCCAAGCATGGTGGCCTTCATGAATTACCATACTCATGGTTCACATGATTTGCCATATTGGCTCAACTGCAATAGTTATTTTGCACACTGCCTCCAAATGTACACTGCCTCCAAATGTGCAAAATTGTGTGGCTGCAGGTCTGATGACCCCTTTGTCCAGCCTACTTGGAGCAAGGTCCAGTCTTGGCTTGTCAAGTAGGCTGGGAAGTTGTGCACCTTCTGGCCACCATGGGCCAATGTCAATGCATGGTTGTTTGATGCAGTGGCTAATGACTCCACACATTGGTTCAAAGTGGCTTTCTCTGTCTCAGGCAAAGTGGATTTTTCCACATGGTCCAGCAATTGGATGATTGCTTCACTTGTCCATGTATCCACTGCCTGGAGCCTTTGGCACAAAGTGTTCAGCAGAGTCTGAACCACTGTGGAGCCAGGTCTTCTGGCACACAACTCTTGCAGATGGGTGATCTCTGCCAAGAAATCTTCAATTTTCCACAAATGGCTCATACTGCAGGCAGTAAAGGGCAAGACAGAAGTGGCTGGGCTGACAAGGGCAAGGTGGCTACATGGAGATGAGCCCAAAAATAGGTTATAGATGGTGAAGGTATATAAGATGTGAGGAAAGGTTGAATAGTGTATGCTATTCAGGTGTATTGCAAAGGATTGAAGAATATATTGTAAAGCAAAAAGGTATCTGATTGGAGAAATCTATTGGCATTGAAAGGGAAAGAAAGTTATGGTGTGTCCAAAAGGAAGCTTTTGCTAAAGATGGCCATAAATTGGCTTTTGCAAGTGACCTAAATATATGCCATATATGGCATTTGACACAAACAACTGTCACTTGTGCACAACTTCAAAGCTTGGGTAGCCAAAAAAAGCTTTTGGAAACAAAACTCAGCTGCTGATCTTTTTTTCACTGGCTATGTGACACAAAAAGTCTGGCCGTGTGAAACAAATGGTGACATTTGCAGTGGCTCAAATGTCAAACCAATCTGGCCTTCTGGCATCAGACCCATGGCGGTTCATGATGTTCTGGGTTCTGGTGTATTCCCTGGCAAAGTGGAGGTTGGCCTTCATGGTCTCCAAGACGCTTTGCACATCATCCCAATGGCCTGCAGCATAGTGGTCTACCAATTGCTGGGCTGACCTTCCCCATGCCTGGTTTGGCTGCAATGGATGCTTTGCCAAATCAGCTTAAAATTTGCTGACTATGGCATCTGTGGTGGCCCAATCTTTGGCATCTTAGAGGACAGCGAAGAAGACTAACTTGGCCTTCCATCCAGTTTTTTTGGTGCCATGCTGGTCAGAAGGCTCTGGCATGGCTTGTCCCACACATGGGCCACTACTGGATGCCATAGATTGGTCTGGTGGCACTGCTGCACTTGCTGCTCTGGGGTATGCCTTTGGGCTCTGCAGGAATTGGTTGGAAGCTGGTGAAACTGGCTCTGGTGGTGGTGCCACATTGCCCATTGGTGACCTTTTGGCAAAAATCTAGCACTGGTTTGGGCCAGCAGCTGGCCTCATCTGGCTTTGGTTTGCTGAACATGCTGGCCTCATCTGGCTTTGGTGTGCTGGGTATGGTGGCAAAGGGTTCATACTCTGGTGACTTTGCAGGCTCAAATGGAATATCTATGGGAGGTTCTTGCTCCAGCTTGATGGGGTCATTGGCTTGGTGACCACTGGCCTCACTGGTGGACAATCTGGGAGCCTTGGGCACATTGGTGCAATCTGCATCATTGGCACTCATCCTAACCAACTCCTTTGGCCTCCATTGGTATTCATTGATGGTCTTGTTGGACACAACAGTGTCACTGGAATCACTGGAGGTGGCACTGGTATCACTGGTGGTGGCCTGTGGATCCACTTGCTCTGCCATGGCTGCTGGTTTGTGGCACCTCTTTGGGCTTCAATTGGTTTGTAAATGGCTGGTATAAATTACATAATTGGTGTAGCTACAGCTTGATTTAAAGTACTGATAGAACACTTCATATAGTGCTTATGTTCTACAGGTTCTGGCATGTTCTTCTGGTGCATAAATGGCTGGCTATAATAGTAAATAGATATACTAGTATGCATGTATATATATATATATATTCTAAAGGCCACATTGGCTTTTGGATGTGCTTTGTGATGGGCCATATTGGCTTTTGATACAAGTTCACAACTGATGGGCCATATTGGCTCTTGATCCAATTTCACAATTTCAGTGAACAAAATGAAGGCCACAGTGGCTTTTTGCTCAGCCATGTAAATCAAATAAACAATTAGTAATATATTGCGCTTGAATGAAATTTATGTTATTTGTATATTGTTGAAAACTATTTTTTGAAAATATATCAAAACTAGTATTACAATGACTATGTTTTACATTTTTTGCTTTGAAAACTATTACTATTTGCTATTTTATTGGTATTAAAATTATCTATACAAATGCAAATTTTAGATTTTGAGTCTCAATTTAACTTTCCAAATCCAAGATTTTAGATTTTGATTTTGAATCTAACTTTTCCAAGCCAAAATTTTAGATTCAGATTCTGAATCTAACTCTCCAAATCCAAGACTTTAGATTCAGATTCTGAATCTAACTTTTGAAACCAAAAATTTTAGATTCATATTTTGAGTCTAATTTTTTTGACCTCGAACCTGTATGTTTAGATTCAATTCTATTAGATTTTGTTTCCTGAGTGTACTTCACCAAAGATTTTTGTCCACAGTTTTAGCCATTAAGTTTTACTTTCTTTCTTTACTTCACAAAAAATATCCACCAGTTTAGTTATTAGATGTGGCCTCCTTACTTTACTTCACCTACAAAAATATGATCAGTTTTAGTTATTAGGTTTTGTTTTCTTACTTTACTACACCAAAGATTTTTGTCCACAGTTTTAGTCATTAGGTTTTGCCTCCTTTCTTTGCTTCACAAAAACATGTCCACAGGTCTAGTTATTAGGTTTCGATTCCTTACTTTACTCCACCCAAAAACTGTCCACAGTTTTAGTTATTAGATTTTG